ATCTCCAACTGACAGCAAACAGTGCTGCCAGTTTCAATCATAGAGGTCTGGCAGCCAGGGATTTGAGGGTAGTATGTGGCCATGGGCCACGGATTGCCCATCCCAGCTGTAAAACATGAAGCCATTGCTGCTTAATTAATGACTATATATTCAAGTAAAGTAAAAATATGGAGTTTTTGGTGCTCTACGTGCTTGGTTGTTTGCTTGCAGACGTTTCATAACCCAACTAGGTAACACCATCAGTGTGAGTCACTGACGGTTTTATTTAGTTGGGTAATGAGACATCTGCAAGCAAGCAAGCTCAGAGATCACCAAGGACTCCACAGTTCAACCCTGAACTATAAACATTCTCTTCTATTGAAAATAAAAATGACAAACTCATGATCTCAGTGCACCCTCTGGTTCTCACCCTAATTCTGTGCAGTTGTCCTCATTTCAAAAACCCTTTGTAGGCAATAAGTTCAAATTTTGGGAAGTGTCAATGGGTGGATAAGACAGAGAGAATCAGAGAAGGGAAAGTTAGAAACAAAAGAACTGTCACAAAGAAAGAAAAAGGAGTGTCAGAAAGACAGAGAGAAAGGAGCTTTTATAACCCAATTTGAGCTTCAGCATCAACCCCTTCTGGCATCGCCCTTCAATAAACTGTTGTCCCCTCCACCAAGATGGGAATGCAGGACCTTGACAGAAGAAAGTGTCCCCCCCTCCTGAAAATATACCTTGGGCTACTCTGTTAGACATTTGCCGAACTGCAGCTTGAGGATACCTCTTCCATGGAGCTGAAGAATCTGGTTATACTCCTTGGGCATGGCATGGAAACCAGGCTTTGGAAGTTGGTTGTCATAGTAGTGGTGACTTATGGGGATGCCTGCTATGTTTTTTGAGAAAGGCCAGAAACCATACAGCTTCACATTTTCACAGAGTTCCACCGCTGCACTGGTGATCATGAAGCCAGAAGACAGCCGGTAGGCTTTGACACCCTTAGTCCTCCAGAACTGAGCCAGACTTTTGAGATACCTGGGATAGAAAAATATGGCCTTCTGCTTTGCGCTGAATTCTTTCAGGGTGTGATGTACTTTGAAAGATGCTGCTGTGTTGCTCCTGAAGGAAAAGGCAGGTAGCAAAAGGAAAGCTTCTCCATAGTTCGCAATGTTTTCCAGGAAGGTGGCCTTCTGACCATTCAGTTTGTTATATCTGGTCATAAGAGCAAAGACACTGGATGTGGATAAGTGCTCAAAATGTAGGGCATCCACTTAAACAGTAGCTTAACAATGGACAGACAGGCAGTCAAGATGATTTCACAGTTTATTTAAATTTACTAATATTCAGTTTGCACACAAAGAGAAACACCTTCAAGGAAATGACTATGCAGATTTTGTTTCACAGGGAGTCCATCCCCCCCCCCCCCCCCGCTTTTGGTCCTTTGCCATATGTTCAGTCAATGCATGACATAAAAGTAGATGCAGCACTGAAGCAAAACCTTAAGGAGCGCTGAGAGACAAGAAAGCCCATTGCCACTCTTTAGCTGATGGTTTTCATTATCACAGTACTTTCCTGATCTCATAGCGATGGAGTCACTAGTGTGGGAGTCAACAGCAGAAGCTACAGGACTCCACAGCTCCATCACTTTTCCCCTTAATAACCTAAGGGGTCTCTATTTGCATTAGCCTGCCTTTTAAGAGGGGGCTTGGGACCATTAATGAACTCAGAAGCCATGGTGATGATGATAACACACCAGTAAGTTTCTGGGATGTTCAACCTAATAATTAAATACAGGTTGCAAATAATACCAGTCATACTCACTTCTGGGCTATAATGCTTGGGTTAACAGTTACAAGGTTTGTCTTATTGCCAACATCTTGACTGACACTTCCACTGGTTGGGGGAAGGTTGCACCTGGAATTTTACAAAAGGTGTTTAGAATCCACTCCAAACTTTCTCCTATTATAGCACTCAGATTTTTCTCTGGTATTAAAATATATATCATTTTTACCAAGCTTTTCCCAATTAGGCGCTGTCCAAATGTCTTGTGAGTAGAGTTCCCAGAATCCCTAGACAACTGAGTTCTGAGAATTGTAGTCTCACCACTTCTGTAGTCTCATCACTATATCCAAAGGACACCAGTTGGATTTCTAGGGCTGTTGTTCTAAATATGCCTTCTGGGAAAATAATGGAACTTATGTCTCAGCATAGGAGTATGCTGAATATATATCATATCCATAACAATTAAGTCTCAACATTAGGAATCAAAACTAACTTACAGCATTCCTTCAATAAGATGTGGTGATGACCAATTGTTTAGATGGTTTTGAAAGGGGATTAGACAAATTCATGTATCTGCTAAAAATGAATAACAGATACCATGTCATCCCTCTTGTCAGCCTTCCAAACGGAGGACAGATGGATCAGAGGTGCCTCTTCAGTGGTGAGGCTGTGTCTGTTCCTAAGTCCAATTATGCCTGCAAAAAGCTACAATGGGAAGTGCTTCAATGGACCATTTGGGGATAGAAAATTGGTGAGGAGGAAGTGACTATGTATTTATTTGATCCAAGTTGTCTTCATTCACTGCAAAGCCTCAGGATTAAGCTCACCTTCCACACATGCATAGATCTGGTGCAACTGATTTCATTACCTTGTAACAAAGCATACAGGCGATAACAGAATAACCCAACTTAACCCCTCCCTTGCTATCCCCCACTTAAAACTGACTATACATTGAACATCTAGATTCCAGCACAATTAAGTGGTACTGAAATGCAGGGACAAACAATTTTGTATTTGCAGATGATGACCTCTACATGTTATGCATTCTTCCCCAACATGGTGACTTCACTTTCTAGCTGTGTTAGACTGCAACTCCTGCCATCCATAGCCAACATGACCACATGAGAAAGGCTGGTTCACTCACTTTCTTATTAATGGGCTGTAGTGAGTTGATTGTCATACTTAGAATTTCTCACCTAAACACAAAGTCAGATTTATCAATTTCAGCTCCACAATTGGAGCTCTTAAGGATCCCTCCGTTTCCAACAACTGCACAGTGCTTGAAAGGGAAATCCAGAGGCTGAGACTGAAAACAAGGGACAGTGTTATTTCTTGTGTGGCAGTTTAAGAAAAGTATGGACATGCATTTCTTTTAATAAAGTTTTATATTAAAATGTACTTACTGAGTGATGCAGAAGAGAGCATTACCTATATTGCTGCTAAATATGAGTCTCCTATCTTTAATCTCCAGTATTTTCCAGAGGCCAAATAATGTCTGGGTTCACACATTGCATTAAGCCAGTGTTCATTTAATCATGGTTTGTTGAAATGCCACTTTGTGCAAAGCCATAAACTTGGTCTACAATCTATAACAGCAGCGTTCATATAATATACTAAATCAAGCCCAAACTACACCAGGTTTTAACATGAAATGTGAATCCAGTCAATGAGTGGATATCTTCCTACAGCATATCTCCATAATTTCTTGCCACTTCTGCTTTCTAAGATCCAACACTATACAGCAGGGACCTCAGATACATTTATGGGCCAAAGCATGAAGCAATTTTACATTTAAGTCATTGTATTTTGCCTAATCATGTCTTTCAAGCTGACAATTGGAACCAGAAACATTCTCCAATTCTGGGGAGGTGGGACTGGATGCCACATCTGACTAGAGTGGAACAGTGGAACTTTAAAAAAGAATTTTAACTATTCTTGTTAAAACTGAACTCAAAAGATATTCTTTCTCCACCCCTTATTGGTCCTATAATGCCTTGTTTATTAGATATCTATGACCATTAAAAAATGTCAGAGCTCTTCTTACCTCTGGCAACATCCGGAATATGTCCTCTGTAATGTGGATGGTTTTTTTATTGTCCACTTCGTAAGTCATGTTGCTTCCCAGTGGGGTATTATTTTGAGAAGCAATAAAGTTATGAACAGCATCACAGCATGAAGCAAGCTCTGCCCTGAAGAAGTTTATAATAAAAATGAAAGACCGGTATAATGAATTCAGTAGAGATGGCAACATGATGATTATCACCAAATAAAACTAGCTTCTAATTCACATTGTTTATTGTTATAAACTTCTATTAACTGTCCCCAATGAGACACTCTTGAGGTAAGTTGGATTTCAATTCATGTAATTCACCAACCAGTTTGGCCAACAAAGGCTAGCTGAGGATTTTAAGTGTTGAAATCCAATGTATTTTGAAGACACCATGTTGAAAAAGATCCATCAAGAACTTTCCTGGGTTACTGAGCTTTATCAAAAAGATTTTCAAGCAATGGAATGCCAAATAAAGTTATTTTGTCATTCATTATTATGTAGGTCTATGCACTTATTTTTTTTCAAGGGATGGATCTATGAACCAATCCCTGAATACAAGTTCCAGTCTTCAACAGCCAAATACCAGGACTGACTGGAGAACAATGAGATAATGATATTGCTGTAGACTCTGTTGTGGAATTCTTAAAAGCACCTGCTTGTCCAGCTAAGGAATCTGCATGGCGGAACAAGGCTGACATAAACAAGACATAAATAGGACTTACAGTAACTTATAGCACTAATTTCACATCCCATTTTTATCAATAAGTTTACTAAAAGAAAGACTACAGCTGGATTCAGCTTATTAATAAGGCCAGGTTTTAAAAATGATCACAAAGTGCTCTTAAGCCTCCTGGGCAAAACATAGGATCTGACGGTTTTGCTATGTGGGATGCTTTTATTTATATTTGGAAAGCTTCTTGCTATTCTCAGTATTTAAGTAAATTCAACCACAATAGCAGATAAGTCCCAGAATTGTAAAAAGAACTAATTTAATATTATCTGCAGTTTTTAGACATTAAAAAAATTGTCTGCTTTTTTGCCCATGAGAATAATAGATTCTTGATCATTTTCTTTAGACGTGTCCCTTCTGTAATGGAATGGATGATACCTAACACAGCTATCTCAACTGTGCTTTTTAATTACAACTTTATAGTGCAATCCTACTCAAAATTAAGCTCAGGGGTTCAATGGGATTGTTTCCAGGAAATTATGTATTGCTCTTTTGCTCTAGCGAAAGACCTTATAAGTGTCAAAGCACTGAATTGAATAATATGAAATTTAGATGATCTAATCTGAGTGGATCCTAAATCTTTGATGAAATAATCCACTATGCTATTGTAGGATGCAGTGATGGAAAGTCAATTTGTAGAGTGATGAATCTACTCAGAAGTGCACATTGCTGAAGTACTTCAGAATTATTCCTAAGTAAGTTGAAAGAGACCTGTGCGCTGTTGGGTGCAAGTATCTGCTTTAGCCAAAGATATGAATATCAGTTTAAATGCTTCTGTGATGGATAATATTCAGAAGCAAAGCTATTCCCAGCTTAGAAAGCATTGTTGCAATATAATCAGAAATGGTCCAATATTATTTTTAAATTAGAAACTAATACAAAAAAATGTGCAGTTAATTTTATGCTTGACGTAATGAGGTAAATGCAATCAAGTGGTATTGTGTTAATACCAAGCATCAGTGGGACACAAGAGATAACACAAGGATATTTATTAAATTATTCCTTCTTCATTCCTTAAGATGAATTCATTTTTAAAGATTTTTTTATCCCACCTTTATTATCTTTATAAATAACTCAAGGTTACCTAATCCTCCTTCCTCCTCCTATTTTCCCCACAACAACAACCCTGTGAGGCGAGTTGGGCTGAGAGAGAGGGACTGGTCCAAAGTCACCCAGCCGGCTTTCAAGCCTAAGGCGGGACTAGAACAGTCTCCTACTTTCTAGCCTGGTGCCTTAAACACTAGACCAAACTGGCTCTCCTATTTATGCCATTTATGCCAGAATAAGTTCTGGCAATGTTTTGATTTTAGCACCTATAATTATACACACATTCCTCTTTGAAGATCATATTAAACAAGAAAAATTTGGACTATCCATCACCTTGGTTCAATCCCATACCTTGGAATGTGAGATCTTACTATCTAGTATTTATAAAATGTACAGATTGCATGAAAATACCTCCCTATGATGTAAAATAAATTAACAGCACAAAACAAAGACTCCTGCTTCACATAAATGGAACATATAAAGCCAATGTCAGCAGCAAAATATTTCATTGAAATAGATTCAAACCAGATTCATACTTATAAACTAAACATTATAATCAATATGTTTAAGTTGGTAGGAAAATCACAACAAAACAGCTGAGAAGGAAGCTCATTAACTCTTGAAAGAACATGTATGGGTAAAGCCCTTACTGTATTTTTTATTTATGTTAGTGTATTTGTATTCTGTTTTCTATTGCGAGATGCTTAGCGTAGCTCTGGAGACAGGTGGTGCCAAAGTCAAATCAAATCAAAATCAAATCAATACTTGTATAGGGGAATCATAGAACCCACACAAATGTCCACATCACGATACGATCAGAAATTTGAAGGCTTCCATAAAAGAGGCAACTGAAAGTCATAATGACATCCGTCACTTATTAAAATTGGAATTCTGTATCGCTGCACTTTTTGAGCAACTAAAGTTGCTCATGGCCCACTTTTTAATCCCTTATGCCGACTGGCTTAGAAAGTTGCCTGGGAGACTTCCAATTACATATACACGACTTATAGCTGTATAAAAATATTTCTTTCAAGTCAGAACCAACTCCTGGTCACTTCATGGACATATCTGGGTAGTTCTCTTGGCAGCAAAATGAAACTACTTTGCAGTTGTCTTTTTCTGGGGTGGGTTTTTTTAAAAAACAAAAAACTTCTCAATCCCAGCCTACGGTTCTGGGATTTCAGATTTAAGCATTCAAAGACTTAACAGGTTCAACCCTGCTTAGCTTAAATAAATGGATCTGGTATATGTTGTGTAGATCGGACTCCAGAAGCTACCATTGTAATTATGAAATAACATAGGAAAATATTATTTGGAAATGGTATATAATGCATATCTTTGATATTAAAGGCCAAATAATGAGGGGGCAATTGAGAAGGGGTAGAGGAAAAGGTTACTTAGTTATTTTTCCATCTTTTGTTCCTCCAGGTTTAAGCGGCTTTTTACAAGGCTATTGGAAACGTATGCATGAATCTCAACTAAGGTAAATTAGCTACGGATGATTATAACGAAATATGGTTACTTTTTACTGAAATGCTTATACAGAGCTTTTATATATGTTTATACAAATACTATGTATGCTTTTTAAAGTTTTTTTTGTTTTCTTTTTTTCATTCTTTATAACTTTCGCTAGTATTTATTTTTTTCTGTCTGTTTTTATATTCAATTAATAAAAACTTATTAAAAAATAAGCTACTTCAAAATATGTGCATACAAAAAAAATGCAGGTATTAATTACAAAGATCACTGACCAAAACAGGACATTATACCTCTATTAGCCCCATTCATTTCCAGGCCCACTTTTCTTGATTTGAGCCTACAATATTTGAAGAAATGCCTCTCCCCATATATTCTATTTACACAATATGTTTGTTTCTGGAGGACACTGGGTACAGGAATCTGGGAAAGAGGGTACCAGCAGACAACGAAATGTATGTTGTGATGTTGAAATGCAAACCCCACCCCCTACATACTTGTGATGTAAATATAAAAGGCGGAGCTTCTGCCATGATGTCATGATGCACATTTTGTCATTTTGGAGTCATTATAATTAGGAACAGATGCCTATGAATCTAGGTGCTGAAGTATAATGGGTGCAATGGGTGGTTATTGCAGTGATAATCTCTCATTTCTGGAACACCCTTTCTAGGGAGACTTGTCAAGAGCTTAGATTTTGGCACCAGGCAAAGATGTGTTTATTCTTCTAGTCCTTCCAGTCCTTTCCAATGGGGCAATTTAATGAACCTTTCCACTGTTTCAGGTTTTGCTACCTAACAAATATTTAAACCTACTTAATGGACACAATGGAAAGCCAGTTTAGTCTAGTGCAGTGATGGCGAGCCTTTTGAGCTTGGCGTGTCAACAATTCGGAAAATGCCAAACTTGACTATGCTGGTGTGTCACCTCCACCCACCGAACAAAGAGAAACAATTCTTTACATATTCATTTATTTTAAAAAAAACAGTGCAATCATGTGTGGTGCTATGCATTATAGAAAGAAATGTCAAATAATTACAGAAATGAAATAGGAGTAAAACAAACTCAGTTTCTTTGGTAACTCAAACAGGGAAAATAGATGTCGGGTGTTGGTGGACGCTGGCGTGTCACCCAAAACATCGTGGCGTGTCCCCTTTGACACGCGTGTTATAGGTTCGCCATCACTGGTCTAGTGGTTAAGTCACTGGATTAGAAAGGGAGAAATCTGTGTTTTTCTCCTGCCTTGGGTATGTAAGGCAGCTGGGTGAATCACTCTCTCTCAGCCCTAGGAAGAAGAAGGCAACGGGTACTACTTTGGGAATGTTGCCAAGAGACTTCTCCAGGCAGTCACCAAGAGCCAAGACTGACTCAAAGACATGTATGCACACAAAACCTCAATAGTAAGCTGTTTATAAGATTCGTTTTAGGCGTTTTTTTAAATTAAAAAAACAAACAGATATGGGCTCATAAACTGTCCTAGAAAAAAAAATTTTCTTGAAGGGCACTATGGAAACCTTGAAACCAAATAAATTGAAGATGTTTCTGGAATTGTGCAGCACACTTAAAATCACCTGCTCCTAAAGCAAGTTTTTCTTAGCACCTTTTGTTACCCATACCTCTTAACCTATCTTTCTGCCCTAATGGTTTTCCCCTTTTATTTCCACAGCAGTTTTAGCCTAGAATCACAGCATTTGTATTTAGGCCAACAACACAAACAAAAATGTCGGTTAATTACCAGGCTGTGTGGGTTCAGCTGAGAATTGATTTGTGTCTGCAGATGGTGACAGACATTCTCCCGGCTTCAAACTTTCTGTTTCAAATGACCTGTCTTGGTTGGTGATGGATGTCAAGCCCTCTGTGAGAGCCGACCGTTCCATGCTGCTCATTAATTAAGTGCTGGTTTTCTTGAAAGTGAGATGCGGTGCCAAATCGCAGACCACAATGGGTGACAAGAAAAGGCCCATATAGCGATAAAAGCAGCACAATTTGTTCCCTATTAAACTGTAGAAGGCGGGATAAGTGGTGGGCATTTGTACTTTCAAGGTCCTCTTGAACCCGGTAAGTGGATTGCAGGCATAATTTCCTCAGCGGTTCTCAGTAACACTTTTAGATCTCAGCACAAAATCATCTTGTGCTAATTCATTTCAGTTTCTTGTGTTCACAGTTTTCCAGGCATACATGTAGCGCTAATGGCTAAGGTGCTAGATTAGAAACCGGGAATTGTGAGTTCTCGTCCTCCTTAGGCATGAATGCTAAATGGGTGACTTGGAGCCTCACAATCTCTCTTGCTCCATCCCAACAGGGCTGTTGTTGTGAGAAAAATAGGAGACATTATGTACCCTGCCCTGAGTTGTACAAAAATAAATGTAGGATATAAATCTAATAATAAATACAATAAAAGATGTCTGCCTATGCTGTCAAATGCCATGATGCACAGCCGGAAACCATAAATGGGGCTGACTCCTGGGGTTCCTACTTGCCTTTGGCCCCAGTGATGATCTGCCAAGCAATGATAAGCAGTGATATAAATCAAGATGTTCAGTAAGACATTTGAGGGAGGTCTACTGTCAATGCTATGAATTGTGAATTGTCATCTTAGGGTCACCTGCAGGCTGACAATGTCAACAGACCTTCCTAATTTGAGTGGCAGAGATAGATCTTCCTTTATAATTTCATTATTTCTAATTTTCTTTCCTTCCTACTCATTTTAATGTATATGTTTTGAATTAACTATTTTAGCATTGTGTTATTATTGTTTTTAAATGTGACCATTTTGAGAGATTTTAGGAAGTAGCACAAAATATTTTTAATAAAGAAAGAACAATTACAAACAGGACAATACATTAAATGCTAATGGCCCTACTCTTTGCTTATTTTATTTTAAATGCCTGATAGTTCTTAATTTCATCTGCCTTTTCAACTTTGGCAGAGTTTGAATTTAGCACTGTGGACCCCTGTGATTACTTCCCATGTAAAACCCGGGATTGACTGGTGAAGCCTGATTACCACTTGCAGAAGGTGCACACAGATAATTTCAAATCATGGATGCTGTGACCTTTCGGCAGTCATATCCATTATTTGTACAGAAAGAAGAATTATCTACACACAGATACGCATTTTATATATATGTATATAAAAGCATGCCCGCACACAGACACACACACAGACACACAGACACACAAAGACATACACTTTTATACAGAAAACTGCAGGGACTTGTCCAGGCAGTCTCCAAGAATCAGAAGTGATTGAACGGATTAAAAAAAATAGTAAGTCCAGACCATGCAACTCCCAGCTCCATTGGGAGATCAGTGGAAAGCAGAAACTTCTTAATCAACCCCAGATGAACCTGGCTTGCCTGCCAATAAACCTTTAGCACATCTCTTTTAAAAGCACAGAGAGGAGGTTCTTCTTCAACACGCTAGCATAACTGAGACAGATTTTCTGGACTCTGAACTCAGACTCCCCAGAGAACTGTCTGGCTAGCTTTCATACTACATTTGGCCCTTTGCAAGGAGCCCCACATATCAACATACAACACATATTTGCATTGAAAAATTCAAGTAAATTCTACAGGAAAAAGCTGTTTTCTCACATTTATGAAAAGATTAGAATGCTTGCTAGTCTCTGATGTTTTTTCAAAGCAAGATCCCAATAAAATGTTAATGTCTAGTTTCTGAAAATTATAAACAGGAAAAGGCATTGAGGAGAGAACGCCACATGGAAGCAGGCACTTTCTATAAGAACTATTTCTTATAGAATTATTGGCACTTCAGTGATTACACATGCACAAATGAAAATATGTCTCTATTTTTCATTTCAGCTCCCCAGTCATTGACAGAAAATAAAAGGCTTGGATTTGGAATCTTTATGTCATGTTTCAGTTACAGGATCTATATATTTTTTTAAATCTGCTTTTTAAATTGTTTTCATTTTGGATCTGGAACTGTTTTCAAAACCAGCTGCTTGCTAACCTGCTACACAGAGAAATGCCTTTATGTTGTATGTGAGTTATAATGAAATCAGCTTTTAAGCTGTTTACGGGGGGCGAGGGGTGCCTTCAAGTCAGTATTGACTCCTGGTGACCACCTGAACAAGTCCCTGCAGTTTTCTTGGCAAGGTTTTTTGGAAGTATTTGCCATTGCCTCCTTCCTAGGGCTGAGAGAGAGTGACTGGCCCGAGGTCACCCTGCTGACATTGTGTCTAGGATGGGACTAGAACTCACGGTCTCCCAGTTTCTAGTCTGGTACCTTGGGCAGCGGGTTGGACTGGAAGACCTCCAAGATCCCTTTTAACCCCATGATTCTATGATTCTATGACCTTAACCGCTACACCAAACTACCTCTCATTGTACACATGACCTTTTTTACATTGTATACAAGACCTTTTTTAAAATATTACCTCCTATCGTTCATTGCTAACCCCACAAAATGCAGTGGGATATTCCCTACAGCTTCAGGCATCAGCAGGCTTGGATCCAACCACAAGACTTTGGATGCTATTGGACAGCCTTCCCCAACCTGGAAACTTAGAGATGTGCTGTGTCTCCAACTCCCAGAATTCCCAGCCAATATGGCCAATGGCCACAGTATCTAAGAAGTGTACAAGCCATTGTCCCAACGCATCTGGGGAATGTAACGCTGAAGAAGGCTGCTATAGGATGTCAAAAGACTGAAAAGCCGAATAAATGCCTCATCCATTCTAAGATACATCTGAGACCTCTTTCAATATTTTGAGGGGCAAAGCTAGCCAAAGCACATGGACTTATTTTTGTCCCACTGAAATCAGTTTCACTTTCAAGTTCAGAAGTTTGGCATGTTGTGAACAAAATATATCATGTCCCCTTCATCTATGGCAGGAGCCCTCCTAAAAAGTCCATCCAGTTCAGCATCCTGCTTTCCACAGGACCAACTCAAACACAGAATGTGGTTGCCAATCTCTCCTCTTAATTCCCTAGCAGTTGATAAGACCTTTTATCTTAAACCTAGGAGGGAACATGTCACCAACATGATTACTCACAGTTGGCTGGTCTTTGCACGATGCAGTGAACTACAAATTAGCCAACCACATTTTAGTCTAGCATGCTGTGCAAACTAGCCCATCTAGTTAGTTCATGATTCAGTATGTTGCACAAACCCAGAACACTGGGTTTATTGACTAAGCAGTGTTTCTATCAGCTATTGGTAAATGTGTCATACAAACAGAGCCACTGGTAGCTTAATTCTCCACAATCTGTCTACTCACTTTTAAAATGCATTTCAATGGCGTCTTTTGGTGCAAAAAACAAAGACTTTTAACAAAAAGCAAAATAAGCGTGACAACCCTTTACTAGACATTTTTTTTTAATTTTAAAAACAAAACAAAGACAAAAAAGTTCCAAAACAAGAAACCCTGTGGCTGAACATTTCAACCATATTGCTATGTCACTGCTACTCCCTGCCACTAACAAGAGTGTGGCCTGCAGCTAAAAAAAAATCTACCTGTCCCTAATCCAGAAAGAAAAATATTTAGGCATAATAATTTACTTTTGCACTTGACAAAGTATAATATCTAATATAAGTACATGTTCACATAAATGCAATATATGGAAATGCATTGCACATATATTAATATGTAATGTATGTCATATAGAGAAACATCATCTTTATTGCTAAAAATACTGCACCCACCAAGCCAGTTCTGGTTAATTCTGCTATTTATCCACAAGAATGGAAAGAAAAAGTAATATCACAGATCATTCCTCTAGCTTTCATACCACTGAAAATTGCTCTAATATAGCATTGTATTCCCAAAGTAGTAAAAAAATGCAGACTGTAGCATACTTCAAGTGAGAGAGTTAAAAACCCAGTTTGATTATTTTCATATTTCACATTTTTATTGAAAGTTCTTCTGCAGATGATTCTGTAAAATTAAGAAAGCAATTTAAAGATTAAGCTTATGCGTAGCTACACAGTAGCTAGTTCTACAGATTCAGTGGGGCTCATTCCCAAATTCCATTACCTGAATTTGGTATATTCTTGTGGTCTCCTATTCCAGGTACAGTTGTGTAGTTTCCCAACTATTTGTAAATAATAATCTTCAGAATATCTAAAAGAAAAAGAATTAAACACATAGGACTGAAACAAATGGTCATATTAACATTTCTTTCCCAACGTCTGTATGATATAGCTGTATAGAGATGAAAGCACATGCTTGCTAAGAAATACCTTGGTCTCCACGGTAAGAGACAAGGTTCAGAATACCTTATTACAAAGTTTTACTTCCTTTGTGACTTGTATTTTGCTGACTAGTATGAAGAAATCTATGCTAATGTTTTAAATTGAACGTTAACTTAGCAAGTTGAAATGTACCAGCATAGTAAGGTAGGAGAAAGAAAATCTTAAATACAGGAATAAGGGAATGTGCTGTGTCCTATTTACTAGGACATAATAAGAGACAACTTCCAACATAATTGAGCCAGTAGATTTCAAAGAATTAGGGTACTTTGTGACGTACTTTGTGGTGCTAGTTCTGCAACTTGTAAGTTTGACTCTTTATTTATACATATGTACTGTACATACAAAGTTTTAGATGCCATCTACCTGAGATCCAAGGACCTTTACAAATATACTATCCAAATATAACTGCTGAATTTCTAAAAAGCAGTTGAAGGCAGCTCTTCCATCATTCTCAACAGCTACTTATAGACTTTCTTAGTCCCTCCCATCCACTTGCTATACTTCTCCAAAGTGTAGCAGGGAAAATAATGATTTATTTATTCATGGCATTTCTTAAATTATACTTCCTGTTTCATACCCAGAATAGGAGGCTGTGTACTCTACTTTACACATACACAATCCTTAATTTAAGAATTACCGACCTCTACCTCAGAAGCAAGAAAACTTTTTGCACCCAGGATTTAATATAAATGTAATTACCATTGAATTAATTGCATATCTTAATATGATTATTTCCCTTTGAATGGAATGACTTCTATCTTCTATCATGCATTTGTGGGCTTCACAGTTATGTGAAAGTTTTTCCAGTCAGGCCTGAGTGGGATAGACATTTCACCGTACCAGAGAACATTCAGGGATAGCCTACTTGAAATCCTACTTGAAACAGCCTCTGAGACAGGCATCTTTTCCTATCTTTGTGCCAGAGATGATCTCCTTCTTGTTGAATCAGGTCCTTAAAACATTAATGAGAAAGACAATCTCGGTGAAAGCAACATAGAATGGCACGTTGCCTTGAATTTTCATTGATTTATTTCTTGGCGTCATTCCACAAGCTTTGCTTTTGTGTCCAAAGCTGGTGTTCTGAATACTTTTTTTTTTTTAATGAACATTTATCTGCTGAGACACATTTTCAGCAGAACATCACATTCATATGCAATGAGCCATCAGAAAGGCTACAAAGATGGCCACAGCATAATTTGTTTCCCTACAATAATGCATCTTGCAAAGAGACTTTGTTCAGATGTGAAAAAACAAATTTAGTCGGTTAGGGATCAGATTTAGCTTCATTTAGATTAGCTATATTGAAATCAATGGATGTACTCTAAAGCATAGCTCCAAGTCTGTGCATGTTATAAGTATTATTTCTATTTATGCCTTGAAAGCCATATACAGTATAGTGTATCCCAGTGGATCTACAACCTTTCAAATATTCTTAACCTTAAATTTTTAACACTTTAATACTGGCCATACTCCATGGGACAGCTGATACTTGTTTTTCTGCAAAACCTGGATAGCCACAGATTCTCTATCTCTGGGATAAGCTTATACTTTCCTACTCAGACGTAAGCCTATAGATTTAAAAATGGTGCCTTGTGCAACTTACTGTCAGCAATGGCTTGCGCCAGGCCCAGTTAGCTAATCCCACAGATTTGTAGCTGTACTGTAATTCAGTAGGGTTCTTATATATTTGGGAATTGAGAAAAGTTTATTTTTTTTCCTAGCTTGTATACATTCAATAAATCATTATATGATTTAGCTTTCTTCATATAACTGCTGATACAATAATCTCATCTATGTATTATAACTGAGAACTCTAAGCCAAGAATTCACCAAGGCTCAAATCACTTCTGGAGCAACTCGAATATTGGAAGGACTGAAAATCTGTGACACTACCCAGCAATATTAAGAGAAAGATCAGAACTTTTCAAAGCCCCAATCACAACTCCTATTCCAGAGCAAAGTTCACAGCATGAATTAAAATACTGCCACATCTTTTAAGTCAATGGAAAGCCAAAATGACAGTAGCGCCAATGTTTGTCATCAGCTCTTTCCTCTCTATCTTCCTAGCCAGGCTGGAGTATGGAAATCCACTTATTCTGCATCCAGTAATGGTTCACCTATAGTGGTATGTAAGTCCTCTCAGTGAAGCCATTATAGATGTCATGGCAAAGCATGTAATTGCATTTCTTTAGACTTGATTCAAGGACCCATAGAGCATACATAAATGGGACCATAATGAAAGAGGCATTTAGCATAAAGAAAGAGGTTACTTGGCACAGCTGGCTTCACCCTCCCTTTTAAGTCTGTGGATACATTTCAAATTCTGAAAGCACGCTTTGGATGGCTGGACAAAATGCCCATCATGGCAGAGGGGTGCCGATTCTCAAAATGGCTGTCAGTTCAACTGGTGAAGATCCTCCTGTCACCCCTTTTAGTCCTATAGCCTGCTACCTATTATTCCCTGCTTCCCTTTGTCTTTCCTCGAGGCAGATGGCCATGCTTCAAACAAAGCACTGGGCTTCCTGAAAGGAAAGATAATAACAGAGCCTGGCACTTTGAAGCATGCTGTTCGCCGGAAAACCGGTGTAGGGTGGGTACGAGGATCCGGCATGAGGAACTCCAAATAACACGCAGGACGAGAGAAACCCAGTCCAACTCGTTTATTACTGCAGCAATAAAGGAGGACACATCCAAGTGTCACTGCCCAGGGAGCACGCTGTGCTTGTCACATTAGCCTTTTTATACAATATTCAAACAGGGAGGAAGAATATGATTGGTCAAAATTTGATACAAATTGCACATGCGTATAACACCTTGCCGATCCCATGAAATACGAGCGGGGCTGCAATTATAATATAATTATAGTAACATAGGAGGCGTGGCTTTAGGATCCTTTCGTCATAAGGTCGCAATAGTTCACCAGTCGAACCCCAGAACTGGTCTTGTCTGGTCCTGGGTTTCCCTACCTGCCCCTTAGTTTCATAACCCCCTTTTCTGCCTGGCAACAGCCGGTAGCAATACTAGCTTCACCTACAGCTGTGCTAGGGGAGTTCTTGTAAAGAACTGCAAAATTGCAAAAACAAGCAGACTCCACAACCATGCAAGACAAACACAAAGAAAAACAACAACAACATCAACGTCAACATATATAATGAATAAATGGGTATGACAGGTGGGTTTAAGAAGGGAACTACAGGCTAGGGAAAAGCTCATATAAAACAAATTTGCATAAAGTGAGATAATGAGAAATGCCTGAGTGAGGGCAAAAAGGGGGTTTCGGCAGGAAGAAGTCTTGGCATGTTTCCAGACTTTTGGCACAAACCACATAATAGCAATTGTTGCCATTATGATCTAATATTTTTATGATGATCAATCTGATAATAGTGAATTTCCGTAAAGCAAATTCACAAAAAGGGAAATCTTCTTCCAAACCTCTCCAGTTATATGCATGCCCATAGACGCCAGAAATACAGAAAGTATTAAATAGTTTATTTTAAATGTTCTTAAAATAACATTTCAGTGTAACGAACACTGATTAGAGATGATGGACACATTCAATAATTTTTTCTGTGGAAGTCAATTGCTCCAGCATAGTTGATTTTACTAAGCTTTCTGTTTTATGAAAATCATGGAAATCCTAGTGTCAGACTATCATTCAGCCAAACAGAGAAAAAAGAATAAGTGAGGGTAACTATTCAGACATTTGGTTTTTGTTTTGTTTTTTTTTGGTGCTGGGTATCATCATATGACAGAAAAATAATTTTACTTAGAAGCCTGAAGCTTAAGGGGGAAAAATTCTATAAATTCAGGGGTAGGCTACAAAGCTGATACTACAGAAGGGGAACAAGTGACTTGGGGCAATGATTTCATCTAGAGAAATTCCTGTGAGTTTACAACAGGAAGCTGTTGTCTAAAGACATTCACTGGCTGGGAATCAGAAAATGAGAACAATTCTCAGAGTTCTAATGAAAGAGAAGTCATTAGACTGGCAACATAATAGAAAACGGCAGATGCAACGTTCAGCTTCAGAGAATCCCTCAATCTCAACACCACTTTCACAGTCATAGGTAGGAACCTGATATTTCTACACATTCTCTAGGAATCATGGTACAAGCAAAGGGTTTATGAACAGCCTTAGGGGCAGGGTATGAGGCCCTGAAAAGATCTGAGTGTAGTCCTACATAAATATTTTAGCTTCTGTTGAATCTGATCCAGGTAAAGGAGGCAACCTAACAATAAGTAACATTGTAAGCCCTTGCTCTCCCCTTTCACACTGTACCTCAGTGAAATATATAACCACGAGAATACTTATCCAGTAATTTCTACAAAACAACAGAGAAGAGATGTGGCTATCCCTTAATTTTTTCCAATAGGAAATCCTATAGATTAAGGCAACCATCAACTTGGTGACCTCCAGATGTGTTGGATTTCAACTCCAATAATTCATAGTCTGTACATGCTGGTTAGAAATTATGAGAGTTGAAGACCAACACATCTGCACAGTACCATGTGGGGATTGGGCTGGGAGACAAAAGTCAAGTTATCATCAATTAATTAGTGTAATATAAGTCTTTACTTCCTCCTCAGCCTTCATTCTTCACATTGGTGGCTGACCAGCGAACCATATAGTTTTCCACCCAAAGCTCTTCATTTCACTGGAATCTTTTCACATGCAAGCATCATAAAACTGCTGACTTGGGAGGGCAGTATTCTACCCAAATCAAAGACAAAGTAAGTATCATCCAGAAAGAACACACCTGTAGATACATCCAGAGAAATACTATAGTAACATTCAGAAACCTTTCTGAAGAATTAGAGTAAACTAATTCTTTATTCTTGCCCAGAGATGGGGTAGAATTGCATTAGTGATCTGGTCTAAAGATACAACAAAATCACATGGAATCCAAGTGATTTAATTTTGAAGTGGTAAAATGGATGTCTAAGTGATAAAATAGAACTCTGCCACTTCAGATGAAGTCACAGGTGATCAAGAAAGACTTCTAAAGTCAGAACAGACTATACTATACTGTGAAAAAGATAGTACTGGATTTACTTATAATAAGCCTCTTGTCTATATTCTTAACAGTTGATGGCATTCCCATCTGCAGAATAATCAATTGCAGAATAATCAGTTGCAAGGGACTGAAGAAGCTATAGCCCAAAATTTCTGGAAGGCTCCAGTTTGCTTAAAGACCCCTCAAATACCAATCTGGCTAAGTGTCATGTAAACAATCTGCAGCAAAATACTAAATCAGCTGATAGAAAGATGATAAACCCTATTCTCCATGTAGACTGGTTTCCATAGTATACGTAGTATTAAAGCAACTCTTGGAAATGGCTCTGAAGGGTACTATAGTTCCTGAAGAATGAGCAACAAATATTTCATTGTGAACACACCAATTAGGAATGTAGGACTAATAAATCTTGTTCTATTCTATTTCCTTGACACTTTTTATCCATTTTCTCTGCATCCTCTTTGATGTGAGGTTTCAACGTGATATTAAACAGCAGTGTTCCTACCTACACATCTTGCCTTCAACCTAGAAATCCTTAGTTGCATCATCACTGCTTGAGTATAGATAGCAGCACGTGAGGGAAAAAAGACATCAGATCCTTATGTTCAATGAAGCCAGATACTGTTAATTACTGTGTTGCTTTGAAAGTTATATTGTTAATTCATAAAACATCTATAAATGTAAAAAATCTTGAAATAGGGCAGGGTCTTCTGAAGCTGCATTAGAATTATCAGCATGCTGTGCTGCATAGGACCAGAAAATACAAATTAATGCAAGCCTTAATGCAATTTTGGAATGAGAAATAGCTAAATATTTGTCTGCTTTTCTGTGTAGAGAGACTCCAAAAACATTCCATTTGATAGCCATTTAAAAACGTCTGTAATGGCTGTCAAGGGTTCTGGCAGCCAACAGCTTGACAGGCTGCATTTGACTCCACCTGACTTGTGTGCCTCAAGGCCTGACCCTGCTGAGTCAGCCCTCACTTGCTCTGGCCTGGAAGTCCAGCCTCCATTACTATATGGCTGGGTAGCTGCAATAATCATCTGTGTTGTGCTGTTATTTGTCATGAAAGATTCATCCAAATATTCTGCATGTGTATCTTGACATAGAGGCTCTTCACCAAAGCAATGTTCATGCTGAAACAGTATTTGTTCATCAAAACACCAAAACAGCTTGAATGGAAGTATGTTTCTCTTGATTTTTTGTGGTCATAATGATAAATTCTGGGAAAAGCTGAAGTCTAATAACAGCAATAACACCACCAATAAAAGACAAACATCCTCAACTATAAAGGAAGGACAGAAACACTGAAATGAGCTATGGACATTTGTGCTTGTTTAAACCAGTAATATAACAATCAATATGTAAGGAAGAAAACTCAACCACACCAAAAAATGGCTATTACTGATGGCTTGTTTGATGTCATGCATCACTGCATTAACATGGGTGAGTATTATGTATGAAGTTACAGCAGAAACAGAACTTCTAGAGCTAAATAAACAGATGAAGTTGAATGATCCTTTTTCCTAGGCTATGAAGCAAAAGTCCTATAGTTTTAGAAATATAGGGACCTGAACTGTTAAGGCAGAGACTTAGCTGGTCAACTACCTGGAACTCTGTGTTCAGACCCCAGAGCAGCCATCTCTAATCTGGCAGTAAATTGAACTTCAACTCCCAGAATTCCAAGCAGCATGTCCAAAACTTGGCCTTCTGGATGCGGAAAAACAGCACATTTGGAGGATACCAGGTGGAGTAAGGTTGCCTCAAAACATCCTCAGGCACGTGAAGACATAATATGTGCCAACTAGACTTTTTCAACTAGCTGGTAGTATCAAGCTCTTGGTTAGTCCTAAATTCATCTCCTAGTTCATGGGGGTCATGGATGTAATATCCTGTAGTACAACCAACATCTCCTCTACTGATACAGATGGGCTTTCCTCACAGTGGCATCAGATGGGCTGGGCTGCTAGTGTCCACAATGCCTCAAAATGATCTAGGTTGGTGGCATTGTGGGAAATTTAAGTCATATGATCTGATAGTCCAGCACAAGAAATAACATAGGCCCTCATTGCTTTCCAAAGATGGTCATCAGGGCAGTTTTCATACCAGTCTGGATTCTATCCTTGCTTGGCCAATAGACCAGTATTTTCTATACAAACCATGTTACCTCTACCATAACCCCTGACTTTGGATCTACATCTAACTCACCAACAGACAGGCCTCTGAATAGGAAAATACACATTCCAGATCAGAATGCAGGTGATTTTTCATGGTATCAAATTTATAGAGCCACTCAACTCAACCAACTCTGGGCAGTCTGCAATAAAACAGCCAATGCAAAATCCCCAATAAGATAGCAAGGCTAAATTAAAATGACAAAACTGAAAAGGAACCAGGCTTGATAATAAAAAAAGACATCCAAAAACAACTTCTCATCCCAGGGCTTGGGGAAAGAGACAGATCTTTAAAACTTATTTGCAGGACAGCAGGGTTGGGGCAATGTGAACCTCTGGAGCAGTGTTTCTCAACCGCAGCAACTTGAAGATGTGTGGACTTCAACTCCCAGAATTCCCCAGCCAGCATGCTGGCTGGGGAATTCTGGGAGTGTACCTGCTGTCTAGAATGGCATCTTTCAAGAGCAGTGTTTCTCAACTTGGCAGCTTGAACTCCCAGAATTCCCCAGCCAGCATGCTGGCTGGGGAATTCTGGGAGTGTAAACTCCCAGAATTCCCCAGCCAGCATGCTGGCTGGGGAATTCTGGGAGTTGAAGTCCACACATCTTCAAGCTGCCAAGTTGAGAAACACTGCTCTTGAAAGATGCCATTCTAGACAGCAGGTACCATGATGGTGAAGTATGATCATTTCTTAATCTAACCACATTTAGGTTAAACTAGATATTGGCCAGGTTTTAACTATTAAAAGGTCTTGGCCACGTTCCTATAAGGAGACACCAGTGGGTTCTTCACACATAAAACTGCTATGCTATATACTTAGCTGTTAAAATCACCATACCTGGATGTCAGTCAAGTACATTTATAACCAAATGCAGACACTGTACCTTTTCTTCTTGATTGACGATGACCAGTTGTTACTCCATATATCCTTGCATTTGGAGGCTTGCTCAGACCTCTGCATTCTGACTGGATTAGGAGTTGCTCTGTTCATATAAAAAGGAAAATCCATTTTTGAAAGAAGAACAAACATTCTTGGCGGCAGCACAATGAATTGCTGTAAAGATAAGCAACAGCTCAAATTGTAACAGTAACAAGAAATGCCAATGAAGTCTATTTCAGTCTGAAGAATGACTTTGAATTGCCACCCAATGCCAAATTTATCTTTTAAACCTAATTTCTGATTGAATTGTCTAGTACATTGTGTGGATGCTAACGCAAATCAGAAACACTTTTTTTTTTTAAAAAAAGATGGAATTCACCCAAAGCTTCAACAGAATTACATTTCAAAACTGTACTTACATATTTTAACAATAAATATAAATGACTTTTTAAAAAATGTTCCCAAAATGCTACTTTCAAAAAATAAATGTGCAGTTCAATAATACAATTATAGATGGATTAGTACATTTATATCCTGCCTGTGCTGAAACACAAGGCAGCATAGATAAAATTCCCAAATATTCTCTTACCCACACTATCAAAATGACATACTATTATCTGCACAATTATAATCACAATCAACAAACTTACTTAACTTCTTCATGTGCTTTAAGATCATATTCTAGGCTTCTAACATCAGCATACACCCCTCAAAATAGCAGGAAGATGTATCACACATTCCTTAAAGCAGTGTTTTTCAACCTTGGCAACTTTATGATGTATGGACTTCAATGCCCAAAATTCCCCAACCAGCATGGCAGCCGGGGAATTCTGGAAGTTGAAGTCCACACATCTTAAAGTTGCCAAGGATGAAAAACACTCTTTAAACTGTATTCTCTGTACTGAAGTGCACCACAATCTAACCATATCTTAAGTGGGGTAGGGATTTCAGTATACCCACATCACACCTTGGTTCCATTTTTCCAAACTAAAGCAGATCATACTTGTGTGAACAGAATACGGTGCTTAGTTGTGTAATTAGATAATGTTAGATTCTGGACTTAACTGCTCTGGGGGGAAAACAGTCTTATGTGGGGACTGTTTAGACAGTAATGTTTATTATGCTTTTTTCTTCAAATACAGTATTTGTAAGAGAAACTATTTAGACTGGGATACATTTTTCTTCACTTACTGTACATCTTCCTCGAAACAATTACCTGTGAATTGAAGGTGAAGGGGAGAGTCAACCTACATAACTTTATTATTTATTTATTGAACCAATTTGTTCAGCCATCCATCTCAACCAGTGGCTCTGGGCAGCAATCATATTAAATAAAAATAAGACCAATTACAATTATAAATACAAAAATTAAAATGCACAGCAGCGAAGGAAGATATCACAGTTGGCAGTTGCTAGCACAACCAGGAGATGGGTCCCTTCACACACATGGGGCTCTAGGCCTGGGCACAGGACCAAATCTTTAGGGCCTTATGAAAAGCCAGCAGAGTCGGGGTCATTCTAATCTCTGGAGGGAGGATATTCCATAGAGCAGGTGCTAAGGCAGAAAAGGCGCATCTTCTGAGCCCTGCCAACTGGCATTCCTTAGCCAACAGAATTCAAAGCCTGCCAGACCAGATCAGATGGGTAGAAACCACCGGGGAAAAATGGCCCCTCAAGTAACCTGGTCCCAAGCCCTGAAGGGCTTTAAAGGTGACAACCAGCACCTTGAATTGCACCCAGAAGCACACCAGCAAAACCAATGCAGCTCACGAAGTAGTGGTGTTACATGTGCCAAGTAACCAGCACTATTGACTACTTGTGCTGCTGCATTCTATACTAGCTGAAGCTTCCAAGGACAGCCCCATGAAGAGCCCCATGTAGAGTTAAGACGAAGATGCTTCTGAAAACAAATGAATGAGCCATTCAGTGTAGATGACTGCCAACTGCTGCTAAAAGTGTGGACAAATTGAAGATTGGACACCTAAAGTTACATTAGGAGGAGACTGTATATATACTTGTAGGTTTCTGTGTATGAGAGTGGTCTGAGTGTGCATAAGGGGACTGGTATAAACAGACTGGGGATCGATTAATTTGATAAACTGGGTACTTTATTGTACCAACAAATAATATGAATCTGTCTGGCCCAGCCCAAAAATAACAGGGAAACAATCTAGCCAAGTTCAGTTCTTTATTGCTTACACCATATAGACAGAATCTTGCCAGACTAAATCTG